GTTTCTCTAAGTCAATGATGTAACGGCATGTATTATCTGATTCTAAAGCTGAAGACTCTTCCTTTTAGCTCTAGAATTACACTGAGACCTGAGAAATACCTTTTGCACTTTCTTTAAATTAGGTTCCACTTGTTGATTGTTGAAATCCTTCTTGACATGTAGGTCCACATACCGTGGTGTGCGTGAGTTAAAGGCTACTGTTAACCTGTGCAGGGTTCGTCTAAGGGCTAATGTCCTCCTTACAGTCCTCCTGGAATTGTACCATTTTTGAAAAACAAATAGGAAACCCCCTTGTTTCTTGAAGAGGTTAAATCATAGGACAGCTAGGCTGCAGAACTTAGCCTATCTACAGCCATGTGAATATATTGATGTGTGTACATGGCTTTGGAATTCGATGCATCTCTCCAGCACATATCTTTTTGTATGTGCTGACCAGCTCATTCCTTTGAAGTGTACAGACAAGCCATATGGCATAAAAGAGCCTTTTAAAAGACTAGGCTGGTTGACCATAAAAAAAATCCCTGGATCATTATGAAAAAAACAATATTCTTGGCTAATATTGCCAGGTACCTTTCACAGCTTTTTACATAAACCTGAATGCTTTTGTTCTAACTATAGTAGTGGTTTCCAGCTTTTTCAGTATGGTGGTGACCCACAAGTCCAAATTTAGTTGGTATGGTGACCCATCCAGGGCTAGCCCAAGATTTTTGTCACCCTACTCCAGCTATGACATTGGCATCCATCTAGTTCAGCATTCCATTTTCTACAATGGCTAACCAGATGTTTTTGAGAAACCAAAAAAAATCACAAAAAGGGCACAGCTGCCCCATTATGAACCTCAAGCAAGTGGCATGCCGACATACACAGCCTTTGGATATGAAGGTTACATTCCAACCTTTGACCACCCTCTCCTCCATTATTCCCTCTAATCCCTCCTAAGGTTCTAAGCAACTAATTCTAGTAACCATTAGGACAAATTTTACTTGATCAACATATATAGACAGTGAAGAAAAAAATACCAGCTAGTGTATGACGTGGAAGATACTGCTTCCAGGATCAGATTTTGGTTTCCAGAATACAAAAGAAAATGGAAAGAGCAGGGGTGGCCATTAGAGAGGGTGTGTCCATGACCCATTTTCAGAGGCTTTGCAACCCAGTTTTGGGTCCCGACCCATAGGTTGGCAAATAGTGGTTTAGCTCAGTAAAGCAACCCTCAGTGGCTTAGTCTTCAGAATTTTTCTGTGATTTTTTTTTTCTGATTTAGATGACTGCGGCCATATTTAGTGCGTGAGAGCCTGCTTGACTTAGAGAGCAGGTATTGCTCCATTCACTTACATGGTAATACTTTCTTGTCAAGGTAGTTGTAGAGGCACGAAAAATAAGAGCTAGAAATACTATATTGCAAATTAAAGTGAGTATAATGAATAGTATTACCTTGTGGCTTAAAAATATTCCATTATATAATCAATGAGTGTTCAGGCCGCTATTGAAATTATTTTAAGCATTCAAAAAACCAACACCAAAACATGCTAACTGGTTACTATGGAGCAAGAATCAATATACTGTTCACGAGTAAACATTACCGTAAAGAACAGTTTAGTTTATTGGTTGAATTGGGGTAGAAGAAGATATTTTATGTATTCCAATGATGGTCATGTGTATCTATGCACAATAAATGTGTGATAGTTACTCATTTGTTGTGATAGATACAGATTTCTTTTGCAGTGTAGACCATCTGTTGCATGGATATCAGTTGTTTCCAGTACTCTGAATGACAGTAGTTTGGCATGACTTTCACAGGCCCTTGTTGAAACAGTATCTGTGACAACTTATTTTATTAGTAGTTCAGGGCAGGAACATTCATACCACCCTTTTAAGAAAATGATTTTTTTTTTCTGTATGTACCTCATACATCAATAGTGCTCACCTAATTTTCTAAATGTTTTTTCTATTTTTTGTGCATCACTTCCTTCAGCATTTTAGTGTATTTTCCCTGACTATATAAATACTGCATAAACAGAATTGTGTAGCAGTCCTCATGCATCAAGGCCTTTTGATATTGGGTAGAATTAATATAGCAATAAGGAAGAAAGCTATGTTTCTAAAACTATTTGGAAAGACCCTTACCAGTAAGAGATAATGACTTCAAATGTTACATAATGGTTGGGATTTGCTCTTTCCAGCAAGATAGGAAGAGGGTTCTGTGCTTTTATTTCCTGTGGTGCTAAAATATTGTACTTTTACAGGAATACTGTATGTCAGAATATTTAAGAATGAGTGGCGTTTATTGGGGATTGACAGTGATGGATCTTATGGGACAGCTGCATCGAATGAACAAAGAAGAAATTCTGGCATTTATCAAATCATGTCAACATGAATGTGGTGGAATAAGTGCAAGCATAGGTCATGATCCTCACCTGCTATATACACTTAGTGCTGTCCAGGTAAACTTATGAGCAAAGCTATTTTAGTGAATTAATTTGTTATAACTTTACCAAGCTGATATTTTGACACTATAATATTAATTATCCTATATTGTAGTAGTAAACCCTGACTTTTTGCTTCCTCTTATTATCTTACTTGGCCTAATCTATGTTCACCTGCTGGTTTTCAGTGAAGGAGATGGGGAGAATGCTAACAGAAGAAACATTTGGTCTGATCAATTTTATTGGTGAGCTGCTGTTGACTTCTTGTACATGATTGGTGGATTCCTCCTTCATGTACAGTTAAAATTAAATATGGCTTCTTAAATTAGTCTGTCATTTTCAGATATCTCTTTTCTTTAAGAGTGAAGCACTATCTGTAGTCAGACAAAAACAATATCTCAGGCTATTTCCGTGAATCTTAAAATACTAGGTTCAATTAATTTCATTGGAAGAAGGAAGTAGAGTATGGTTGTGGGTTGGGCAGGGCTGTGTACCTTTTGTACTGTTAAAGGAAGAACACTGCTACTTGTGGTGCAGGTCTTCTCAAGTCAATGATGAGGCTTGGATTTTTTTCTGAATCTTTTGCTGATGTGGTCTTAACACTAAGCTCTAGAATTACTCTGAGACTTGAGAACACTTCTGTGAATGTCTTGCATTTTGAGAGTTTCTGGTATCCTGCAGAAGAAAGTCCTAATACCAAATACCTTCTCAGGGCTGGAGCAAATTGAATGTTTAACAGGGGTGGATTGATTATTAAAACCACCAGGGTTGTCCTGGGTGAGATGAGTCTTACCTTTGCGCTGCAGCAATGGGTGAGGCAAGTTGACTACAGCCACCACCAGCAGCTAGCCCTTCTTTCATGGGGAAGGAAGGGCAGGGTCCTTTTCCCTGTGCTGTTTTGGTTTCCCAGTCTGCCCCTGTGGTTTAATCATGGTTGAGGATTGGAAGAGACTTTGATAGTCAGACTAGAATGTTAAAGCAGGTGCAAAAGACTAGGGGGAATCCATACACTTCCTTTTTTGTGGTTTGGCTTTTACGTAATTGCTAGCTTTGATTGAGGACCCTTTACATTATACTTTTTTTTCTGTACACATTTTTAAGGTGCCTGGAACAATAGTTTATGTTACACAGATCTGGTATCTGCATAACTGAAACTAAAACTGTAAACTTCTGTTATGATCCTCAGGAAGCTTGCATATGGATTATCCAGCTGATTACTGTGTAATAGCTTTCCCTGCAGATCTGCCTTGACGTTTAAAAAGACACTACAAGGAACTGCTTGAGACAGTTGTATGAATTCATATGTGGGAGTACTGAGAAAATCAATGTGTATGAGAACCAGTTAAACACTTAAATTATTCTGAATGCTGTTGGCATGTTCTATAAATGCTTTTAATTCTTGTAGAACTCTTAACTAGAATGGTTCTATATTGCAGATTCTTACTCTGTATGACAATCTACATGTTGTGGATATAAATAAGATAGTTGATTATGTAAAGAGTCTACAAAAGGAAGATGGGTCGTTCGCTGGAGACAAATGGGGTAACATCTATTTTTCAGATACAATTGGATTGCTGTTTTATTTTAAGAGTGGGGGGAAGTCCTTGTTCATTGTTTTGTACATGCTCTGTGAGGTTAAAGTGTAAAATGGATTGTGATAGTATTCCAGTAAAAGTTGTCAGAATAAATAGTTTTCATATGCGTTATGAGTTTAAATGTATTGTTACTGTTAATATTGTCTCACCCCTTTATCTTGATCATTTCTCTGAAGCCTGAGAATAATGTAGTTTTAGTACACTGAAAGACCTCATATTATTTGACTTTATTGTTTAGTGAGCTATGAAAGAAACTCTTACTTAAAATAGATAACACATTTGGTTATAAAAGTTATACCAAGAAAACATTTATGATGGAGTATAGAATAAATATAGGATGATTGTATTGATATTAATCATGAAGATAATCTTGAAGTGGGATTAAAGCTGAATGGGTGCAGCTTTGAATAGAATTACAGTTGGCTCTTTGTTGCTGCGTACATAGTATAGTATTGCAGCTTATTTTCTAAAGCCTCAGGTTTCAAGTTCTAGAACCATGTCACCAGTGCTTTCTATTTTGTTGCTATGGAAATATGTGTGCTCTAATACTAAGATTCTTTATTGATGCTTAGTCTAAAATGATCTTGACTTCAACATGAAAGTGCTCTTAATTATATCAGAATCTGTGATAAACAGTGAACTGCAAGCACGTTTAAGTGTGCCCTGGAAACTCTCAAACTCCTTTAGTATCACTATCAAAATGTTTGAGTGAACTGTAGTGGAACAATGCTTGTTGAAAGTAATTTTGTAGAAAGTATAAGAAAATAGAAATAGAGATCTATTTTTATAAATTTGCATTTTTCTCATTGCATGTGTTTGATTATTTGGGTAGTTCCTTAACAGATTAGGTATTAAGGTGCAAACTTAGAGTTATTTAAAACATTTTATGCTGCCTTTTCACCAAGAGTTTCATTTCTTCCTGCAGGAGAAATAGATACAAGATTTTCGTTTTGTGCAGTAGCAACACTAGCCCTTCTGGTAAGTTCTTTTGTCAGGAAAAATATGATTTTGGAAACACATGGATAAATTGCTGTGGACATAGTAGACTATTTAGTAAGCTATGTTTTTATTTACTTGGAAATAAAACAAATTTCTAGAGTATTACTAGCAAGCTAGCGACTGGTCAGAGATATTTCTGGGGACTGTAAACGAGACCCACAGTGTCAAAGTCGTGACAGCTCTGCCAATTACACAACTTGAAATTTGTTCCCTCATATTAGACACACAAGTGAATGAGGCTGCACCACCTTCTAAATCCACCCTATCCAAAACAAGTAGTGTGTAAAAGATTCAGGTCCTCTGCTTGATTATTATGCTTCCTCTCACCATCTACCTAAATATTCTTTCTGGTTTCTGGGGTCTTGGTTATGAGGCATGGAAGAAATCAGCTTCTCAAGAAAAAGTGGTTTGGTAAACTAAAGTACTGAGCAATGGAAGTTAATTGTATGATGTTTAGGACACTGAAGTTTGTTTTCCTTTGTATTATGAGAAAGTTTCGTTCTTACATAGTGCATAGAGTTATCTCGGGTAAGGAGGAACGGTTGGGAAACTTTCTCATACCCTGTGCAAGAGAACTAACACACTTCCCATTCCATTTTACCCACTTCCATAGGTAACAGTTTGTCATCTTGACTCTTCTTGGTATTAGGGTAGTACAAACTCATTACAGGGATTTACTGCATTTCAGGGTAAACTGGATTCAATTGATGTGGACAAAGCAGTAGAGTTTGTTTTGTCTTGCATGAACTTTGATGGAGGATTTGGTTGTAGACCAGGATCTGAATCTCACGCAGGACAGGTAAGCTGTGCTGTTTATATATACACTTAGCAAAGGATCTTGCACTACATAATGGTGCTCATTCTAGCATGCTGCCCTACTTAGATTTAAAAATATAATTTAACCCCCTGAACTACTACTGTCATCCCACAAATATCAGATGTAACCTAGAAAGAAATTAAGTTACCTTAGGCTCCATATGAAGTGATTATAAACATGTTGCTGTTTTCTATAAGCATATCTGGGAAGGGGAAAGAGAGAGACAGCCTGCTAATGATGAAGTTTCAAACTGGGAAGGAAGTCATAAAGATCAGGTTCCTGTCAATGTTGGTCTTAGTTTCTACGCTGCTAAATATCTTTAACAATTTGGATGAGGAACTGAAGAAACTAGGAACTAGAATTTGAAATGGGAGAATGAACTCAAAACAGGATATAAAATAAGCCTGCTTAATAAGTATAACTGTGTAGAAACAGATAAAAGGACTAATTGGGAGAAAGGACAAACAGTCTAACTTTATAGGTGCAGGCATGAAAGTGTACCACAGTGGTTGAAGGAGGTTTGGCTTGCCAGTAGGCCATGAAGTCTGGAACAAACCCATCTGTTTCATGGGCAAAAATAAATACTGGTGCAGGACCATCCTTAAGTTTGACCCTGTACATCAATAGAATATATAGTCTTGCTTGTTATATTTCTGTAAAGCAGGGGTGTCAAACATGCAGCCCATGGGTCAGATCAGGCTCCCGGAGGGCTGCAATCTGGCCCCCAAGGACCTGGTTGTTTTCTGCTTCATTTTCTAGTTCTGCTGCTGCTGCCGCCACTCTCTGTTGCACAGGAGAGAGAGAGGCAAGCCTCCCCTGTGTGATTGAGAGAGTCTGGTAAAGCACTGGCTGAGGTTCCACCCCCTCCTTCCTCCCAGGGGGAGGGAGGGACTGAGCCAGAGCTTGCTTTCTGGCCAGGCTACCTCAATCGTATACAGGAGACAAAAGGAAGCCTTTCTTTCCATCTACTGACTGAGGCTCCTCAAGGGAGGGAGGGAGAGCTTGCTTTGCTGGACTGCCTCAATAGTATGGGAGAAATACCAAGCACCTTTAAGACCAACAAAGTTCTGTTCAATGTATGAGCTTTTGTGTGCCTTGCTACAGTATGTGTGTGTGTTTTGTTGGGCTCCTTATGCCAGGGCTCATTTGGAGTACTGTGTACTGTTCTGGTCACCACACCTCAAAAAGGATATTATAGCATTGGGGAAAGTGCAGAAAAGGGCAACTAGAATGATAAAAGGGTTGGAACACTTTCCCTATGAAGAAAGGTTAAAACGCTTGCAGCTCTTTAGCTTGGAGAAACGACAACTGAGGGGTGACATGATTGAGGTTTATAAGATTATGCATGGGATAGGGCAGGTAAAGAAGGAAGTACTTTTTTCCCTTTCTCACAATACAAGAACTCGTGGGTACCAAATGAAATTGCTGAGCAGTCGGGTTAGAACAGATAAAAGGAAGTACTTCTTCACCCAAAGAGTGATTAACACATGGAATTCACTGCCATAGGAGGTGGTGGCGGCTACAAGCATGGACAGCTTCAAGAGGGAATTAGATACGCATATGGAGCAGAGATCCATCAGTAGCTATTAGCCACAAGGTATAGATAGGAATTCTCAGTCTGGGGCAAGTGATGCACTTTATTCTTGGTGCCGGGGGGGGGGTCAACAGTGGGAGGGCTTCTAGTGTCCTGTCCCCACTAGTGGACCTTCTGATGGCACCTGGTATTTTTGGCCACTGTGTGACAGAGTGTTGGACTAGATGGGCCATTGGCCTGATCCAACATTGGCTTCTCTTATGTTCTTTCCTGGGTGCAACTGGGTTTCCTCCCCCTTTTCACTGTATTCATGCCCTCATGATCCAGTCTCTCAGTAAGAAAGCAATGTGAACTGTTTTAGAGAAGGAATAACAATAAACCAGTGAGGTGGATTAAGCTGAGAGCGTGTGGCCAGACCAAGTTCACCAAGCACATTTCCTTTGTAGGAGGCTGTACTTATTTCTCTAGGGAAGACTATAGTTTTGTAGACAATCACATAGCCCTCAGTCTGTGTCAGGATGCCTTCTCATGTTCTTCACCAGCACATAAAGCAACGTACGTACAAAAACTCACAACGCCCAGCCATTTCATATTTTCCCCTGAGTCCCAGGCTCAGAACACTGAGCATGAGATTTCTGTAATGAATGTCAATAAATCAAAAGTAGGTTTGCAGCTTACAGATACTCAGCTGACAGCATACTCAAGATTGCTACAGCACAGACATTTTGATGAAATAATTCAGAGCAAGAGGTGTCAGTTATCATAGACTGTTAAATAGACAAAATATTGCAAGAGTGCTGGTGTTTTAAGCATGTTTTATTTAAAGTTTTAAAAAATCTTTTATTGTGTTTGTCTGTGTCCTTTATAAAGTTTATATCTCTGCTACCTGGCATTACATTTTATGACACGCATTGCCCGACCCAACAAGGTCTCATTTATGTCAGATCCAGTCCTCATAACAAATGAGTTCGACACCCCTGCATAAAGTGTCTCATCTCAGGACTTCTGTAGATTAAATTTACTTCATGCTTTTAAAGGTTCAACTTGGGTTGCACATTTTATTGCTGAAGATATGTGGGAGGTTGGTTAAAATATTTTGATATATTTTGTTGACTTAAAGCACTTGTGTGAAAAGCACTTGTGTGAATAGTTGGGGTTGTACACTGCTATCTTCCTTTGCCTTACCTGAGTAGCAATATTTTAAATAGACATGAACTTTATATCTGTAATTTTAGATCTATTGTTGCACAGGATTCCTGGCAATAACTGGCCAATTGCACCAAATAAATGCTGACTTGCTAGGATGGTGGCTTTGTGAACGGCAGTTGCCATCTGGTGGCCTCAATGGAAGGCCAGAAAAGGTATGGAATCATGTTTTCCATCTTAAAGTGTAATTTTTTTTTTCTGGAATAAGATAGGAACACTTGACATCTGTTGTAATTTTACTTTGTCCTTTCTCCAAAGAGCTCAGAGCAACAGTATATAGTTCTTCCCTCCTCTATTTTATCCTTATAGCAGCTCTGTAGTTTAGGCTAAGAATATGAGACTGCCCTATGGTAACCCAGTGATCTTCCTGGATGAATGGGAATTTGAGCCTGTGTCTTTCACTCTTATAGCATGCTGGCATTCTAAAGAGTGATTTTAATTTAATTTTAATTATAATTTTAGTTATTATCTGTAATGACAATTTCTCTTCTGCAGCTTTCTTAAAATATGCAATTGAAAGAAGAAATTGGGTTCCATAATTTAGCAATATACATTAAAATCATATTACTGCAATGAAACATGCTCTGGAAGCAGTTCATGTGTACATTATATTTAGGAAGCTGTTTCAAGCACATTAATAATCCTCTCATGGCATTAAAATTAAAAGCCTTCAGATCTATGGATTCAAGCATATTGTGATAGAATAAAAACTACAGTCCTGAAATGTCACCTGTGTGCTTACTGATTTACTACTCAATGCAGACTTATTGCAGAAAACCAATTAGCATGTATCTGCTTGTATCGGTGTTACAGGCAAATGTTTTGAAATATTTGTAATTCTTGTTTTAAAGCAGTATTTTAAAACTTCAAAGCAATCAAACATTCAAAAGCAACAGTTAATTAAAATTCAAAGACCAAGCCCAGCCAGCTTGATAGGTAACTCCATTTGTACTGTTTCCTTGGAGCTAGAAATACTAGAGAAAGCAGGTATCACTGGTAAATTGTAGAAATGCTGTTTAGATGTTGAAAACAGTGACAGACCTCAGTCAGCTTTTTAATAGTTCGCTTGTTAAGAAGAGAATCTGTAAAGGTGTGGTTAACATAAGATTCCAAAGCAATCTTTTAAAACAATTGTGTACCTGAAAAATAAGATTGTCAACAGGAGTGTCACATTTCACTTTAACATTTAGCAGTTTTTTGAGATTGGTTTTAATTTTTGTTTATTTTATTAATCCATTGAACTGTGGATTAGGAATGGGCACGAACCAGGAAAATGGAGGTTTGTGGTGGTCTCACAAACCTCCACAGATCTTCCCAGTTAACAAACTGGTTCACAAAGTTCAGGGGAAGATCAGATCTTCCCTCCCTCCTTTCAGCTGGCGGTGGCTCCCCGAGGTTAGCAGAATGGGGGGGAAGAGATCTTGCAAAAGCCATTTAAAGGGAACGTTGTGGCTTTTGCAAGCCATTACAGTGATTCTCTTTTGCAAAAGGGATCGCTGAAATGTCTTGTATCTATTTCAGCTAAATGGATGCAAACCATTTCAGTGTTCTCTCTCCCTCCCCTCCTCCTTCCCACCATGAACCCCACAAGCCTCCAAAATCATATGAAGGGTCGTGGATAGGGATGAGCATGAACCTCCGGTTCGCAAACCATGAACTGGCAATGTTAGTCACAAAATTAGTTTTGTGACGCGGTTTGTGCCCATCCCTACTTTGGATATCTTAAGCATAGGTCACTGTATCTGTGTCAGTCCAAATTCTGTTTCTTCTGGCCAAGGAAAAGCAGCACATCCAATGAAAAGACAACTTCGTTAAATAAAGAATGATTACTTAAGTTGTGCACTTGTTTGGTGAATGGAGTAGAAAAGATGCACAAGAAATTCCTGATGATTGTGCTATGTATGATAAGGAATAGTTTTCCTTCAGTCTTTGTATTTTGGTGTAACTGTTTCTTTTTAGACCAGATTGTTTATTGTTATTATTATTACTACCATTACAATTGTTCTCACATTGTCTGTCATTGTGTTTGCCAGTTACCAGATGTATGCTATTCATGGTGGGTGTTGGCATCTCTGAAAATCATTGGCAGGCTGCACTGGATTAACAGACAGAAATTACGCAGTTTTATCTTGGCTTGCCAGGATGAGGAGACTGGAGGATTTGCTGATAGGCCAGGAGATATGGCAAGTTTTCTACCTTCAATAGTTTTTACTTCGTAAGGTCTTCTGTGTGTGTTTGACATTTCTTAACTAATAACCAAGATTTGTCTTAACTATTCAGATTCCATGAAAATTCATTATTTAGTGGTATTAAATCCTTAAATCTACAAATGATAGACTTCTTCCCAAGTCATATTGCCTTCAGGTCAGCCTCTTGTATCTGATATATTTCTGTCTCTAGCATCACTCAGATCTGGACCAGATCTAAATGGGTGGTTGCTTCTAAGAACTAGTAAGTTCTAGTAAGAGCTGCAGAATACAGCTAATAAAATTAATTTATTACAGAAGTTAACCCTAATAGTCTGGAATCCAGCATTCCACATATAATTAGCTTTATTTTTTTATTTATTAATCCAGCATTCCACATATAATTAGCCCTCTACATGGGGCTGCCTTTGTCGCAAATCCGGAGGCTGCAACTGGTGCAGAATGCTGCGGCCAGGCTGTTAATGGGTCTCTCTAGGAGAGACCACATTCAGCCTGTGCTGAAAGCACTGCACTGGTTGCCAATAGCGTACCGGATTCGCTTCAAAGTGCTGGTTCTTACCTATAAAGCCCTATATGGTCTGGGTCCAGCCTACCTGAGGGACCGCCTTTCCCCATATGTTCCCCCAAGAGCACTACGGTCTGGGCCCCGAAATTTACTAACTGTGCCGGGCCCCAAAGATGCAAAACTGGCTGTCACAAGGACCAGGGCTTTTTCGGTGGTGGCCCCCACCTGGTGGAATGAGCTCCCGGAGGAGATGCGGGACCTGATGCAGTTCCGCAGGGCCTGTAAGACGGAGCTCTTCCACCAGGCTTTTGACTAGGGGCTGCCGCCGCCCCCCCTGTTAGGGAACTGAGGATTTTGAGCATTTTATGGTACCGAGATGGTTTTTATATTGTATATTATGTTTTTAAATGTTACTATAATGTATTTGATGTCTTATTACCGCGAGATTTCTTGCCTTGTGAGCCGCCCTGAGCCCTACGGGGGAGGGCGGGATATAAATTTAATAATAAATAAATAAAATAAATAAATATAGAGTTATGTGTGTCCACGGGATTCTTAGCACGCTTCTTCTTTGAATAGTCCTGTGCCTTAAAAAGCCCCCTACACACACACACAGAAAATCAGGGGACCTTCCGGAGTGACCTGCTTTGAGATGGAAAGGGCTGCCACCAGTGTTCCGTCTCAGCTGAGTTAGTGTGAGCTAGCTCACAGTTTTTTAGCCTCCAGCTCACACATTTTTGTCATAGCTCAGGAAGGATGGCTCCAGAGCAAACTAATTTATGCAGTAGCCAAAATCGCTTGCTCACAACTTTAATGCCAGTAACTCACAAAGTAGAATTTTTGCTCACAAGACTCCACAACTTAGAGGGAACATTGGCTGCCACCAGTGGAGGGGGGAGGCAGAATTCTGCTATGTGTGCAGCTCAGACTTCTTTGGATCCTGGCCTATTTAGAAACTTATTTAACATATTACCACTACCTCTTCTAGAAATTTTGTGCTGATGTTTTAATGTGCATTTTGGTACATTATAGGTGGATCCATTTCACACCTTGTTTGGAATTGCTGGACTCTCGTTACTGGGAGAAGAACGGATTAAGCCTGTGAATCCTGTGTTCTGTATGCCTGATGAGGTCCTTGACAGAATAAATGTACAGCCAGAACTTGTGAGCTAGTTTTTATCGTTGTACAGTGTTGTCATACTCGGCTGCTTTGAATTTTTCCATCAAATGACATTTTAAAATATGTTTACATGACAGATTACCACTTTACTGTCATTTTGTATGTGGACTGTATTCAGAGTTAATAAAATGAGTATTACATGTGCTTGAAGTTCTCCATAACAGATGTAGATATACATTTAAATTGTCTTTAAAAATGTGTGCTTCAGGGCTCTGTTCTGGTCCTGTTACTTCAGAATAACATACTGTATTAGGCACAGTAGATGAATACTTGAATTGTTTGACTTTATATTTATTAAACGATTGTTCACCCATCTTGATGATAGCGTGTATTGGACAGTGAATTGTCCCGAATACTGTTTTCATTAACAAAGAAATTTACTTGCATATGCCAGTGACACTTTATGCTCTTAAATTCCTGTTTAGGATTTGCCATAGTTTTTTAATCCGCTTTGAGTCACTTTGTCTTGTCCTACATTACAGTAGACATTTTGTGGTACTCAGATTATTGCTTTTTACTAGTGACATCCTTTAATAGTTCAAGTTCAAGTTAGCCTTTATTGGCATAAAATGAAGTTTAATAATGCAATCATGATGTACCTTGATATAAACTGATGCCCTTGCTGAATTTTTTGGAATTTGTTCCTTCACTCTAAAATATTTATTGCAATTGTGGAATCCCACTTTCAGTAGTATTTAGAACAGTTATGTATGTGTGTGTGTGTATATATATATATAGTCCAAAAATAAAGTTATAAAAGAATACTGTTTTCTGTAAAGTGAAATATCTATTTCCACTGGAATTCTAGAAGTGCCTCCATTTCACATTAGTTAAAGTTGAGCATTTGTAATTTGGCTGAAACCCTCTGTGTAAAATGGGATTCTGCTTGAAAAAATAAAGCTAATTATGAAGTAAAGTGGTTTATGACTTAAATTATTTATGGTCCACTAGAAGTGATAGAAATCTGCAGTTTTCTTTTTTCTTATTAATCTTTTGAGAAATTACAAACCTCTGTGAATTACCAAAAAAAGAGAAGACTTCTAATCCAAATGCTTCTGAATACTATGAGAAATTGGAACAACATGGCTTAGGCCACCCCTCTCCCTTCTGATTTCGATCTCGGACCTCTTCCTGTCATGTAATGGAGTAAGTGTAAGTTTAGTCCTCCATGTATCTTGTGAGTTGTGAACTGTTTAATTTATGTTGTTGTTGTTGTTGTTGTTGTATAAAGATTTTATTGACTCCCCTAAAAAGGGGAGGAGTTTCGCTTAAAAAGAAAGATAAGGAGGGTATATAGTGGGAGGAAGAGAAAGCTGAGTGATGTATTAACTGTTAGATTAAACTGTTAGTAATGTCCAATCATCAAAGGCTTCTTCTGCGTGTTGTCAAACATCTTTTTTCCATTCCAGTTACTTTCTGTATTAGTATGTTAGTAATGTTCCTTTGAATTTCTGTTAAAAAGTCTCTTCAGGGCACATTCAGAACCGCTTCTTTTACGTGCTGGTTACTTTTCCACTCTCAGTGACGGGAGGGGCTTCCTCTGTTTTTCTCTTGCCTCCGGCTTCTTCCCCTCCTCCTTCGGGTCGCTGTTAACTCTTTCAGTTCCTGTGCTGTAAGCTGTCTTCCTTTCATGCCATGCCCGGAGATCTCCAGCTTTGAGAATGGTATTAATTTCAATTTCGCTTTTATCCGCTCCCAGTCCCTTCGCTGGATTCTCCTCTTCAATTGTTGACTTTTATAAGCGCTCATGAGGCACTTTTCGCTGTCACAATTCAAGCTTTTCTTTTCCTTCACAATCCCCGTTGGATTCATAGCTATACACAGTCCAAATATTAAACAGCCGGCACTTACGTTGACACAAACGCCCAGACGGAAGTCCCTCCCTTCTCCGCTTGTCTTTACCCAGCTCCGACATCTTGTTTTTTATTTTTAGTAAAGTTTTTAAAATGCGCTCCAGGGAAACAAAACCTCTTGCTTATTTTCAAGTACATCAAAGGAAAACATCACTATTCGCTCAGTCCATTCACCCCCTCTTTTCTTTTTTTTCTTTCTCGCTTATAGAGGATTAATCTCCTCATTTTCCGCTGAAGGGGGGGGGGAAACGTTCTTAGTTCTTTTTCTCTGTATTTTGACAACTCACAGTTACGCCAGTCTTTTCTTTTCCATTTTTTTCGGATATTCGCTTCATCACTCGGTGACGCCCGGTGGTTCCGCTAAACCCCGTAGAACGGGGTCGCTCACGCAGCAAGGTCCAAAGGGGCAGGGCATGGCGAGAGTCTCAATCTCCGATCTTTCGACCGAAAGAGAGACTCCCCCCTAGAACGCCCTAATGCGCCCCGGATCCGAGCTCCTCTCCCCTGAGGGGCTCGTTCGGGTCTCCGCTTGCGTGGATTCCCTCCTCCACCGCGGGCGGGCAAGACGCCCTCGGGAGCGACCCGAGGATGCGTCTGCCTTTCGCGGGAGCCAGACCGGAAGCCCAATTTATGTTGTTTTTAATGTATTTGGTTTTATAGCACTTGTGCCTTGTAAGCCGCCCTGAGCCTGCATGCGGGGAGGGCGGGGTAGAAATGGAATTAAATAAATAAATAAATAAATAAAATGGTGACAGGATTAAGGAAGCACCTTGTGCATCATTATGTTCAAGTTCTGTTTGGACTGTTTATAGGAAAAACTTAATTTTCACCTTATACAGCTGAGTACCATTAAGCATCTGGGTTGGTCTTGCAGCAAGTTGCCATTTTTGGCTGCAGTGGAGGGGTAAGGCAATGAGTTTTAAACCGCCAGGTTACATGTTTTAGAGGCAGCCTAACATTATATTAAAAATTAGGTAAGAAGCTTGTTTTCCTAATTGGTAAGCCTCTATAAAATGAAAGCTACAACTTTTGGAAATTCAGTACTGATTTTATCCCCAGTGCTGTTCAACCTTCATGTTAAACCTTTGGCTGAGATCATCAGGAGGTTGTCATCAATATTTAAATAATTTTTTTAAAAAAACTTCACAATCTCATTATCTAATCTTCCTGACACAGCTCTGAAAGTCCTAGACCAGTGGCTTTAGGCTATGATTAAGGGGCTGAGGGTAGACAAACTGAACCTTAATCCAGGCAAGACAGAGGTACTGTTGCTTGGGAAGGCAGAGTGTTTGGCTGGTGGTGTTCTACAAGATGTAGATGAGCTTAAACAATCTTGGTAGATCAAGTTAAGGGCTTTGAGGTGCTCTTGGACCCAGCCTTGTTGATGGATATAGACAGACGACACTGTTGCTAGAAGTGACTTTCATTTATGTACTGTTCACAAGCTTTCCCCTAATTTAGACTCTGCAGATAGCTGTACTGATTCATGCTACTGAAATTCATGCTACCTCCAGATTGATTTACTGTAACTAGAGATGAGACGGTCCAGATTAGAAACAGAAACATTCAAGAACAGTGTTTTTCTGTACTTCTCTTCCCTTCACAGCGTAGGGTCCTTATAGTTACTCAATCACATCTCTTTGTATACTCCCAAACACTACATTCCTCAGTAAGCCTTCATCTTATAGTGCCTTCTCTTAGGATTGTTCTTATGGCAACAGGTAGGTCATGGACTTATTCTGTGATATGTCCAGTCCTTTGGAATAATTTACCAGGGCCGGTGCAGAGGGTGCTTTCACTGGCTGCATTAAGAAGGTATGTAAGAGGACGTTTGGGGGGTCAATTGTTCAATCAGATTTGGCCATAATTTTCATCTGTATGTTTTTATTTTGTTGATGGCTGTTATTTTTGGAAGGGGAGGATGGGAACCCATAGACCATGGGTTCCCTGACAAGCACCCCAGTAACCAGCTGCCACCACTCAGGATCTCCTGAGAACATCTCAACTGACCTGCTCAGAAGGTACTCTTCCAGTGCAGTACTAGAGCAATAATGAAGTGACAGGGTAGAAGCCCTAGCAAATACCTTATAATCAACTATGTAGAACCTGTGCAGTCAAACGTGGGGAGAAATATTCCAGAGAAGTAAACTGTATTAACTGAGGCCAAAAATATGGTTATAAAAAGCTTTATTTCAAAAGAAAGGGGGGAAAGGGGCAAAAAAATACAGGGAAAACGCAACAGCGGTACAGAGATGGTCAAATAAAAAGTACAGTTCATCTAAGATCTAAATGCACATTACTTAACCTGTAGCAGGTTCCTCAGAGCCTGTGCAAACAAGAAGTTGAAAAAGTAATTAGCCCCTGCCTCCTATGGACTGAAGACAAGGGAAAATCTCACATGTCCAGATATTAATGATTAATGAAATGACATAAGCCAGCCTCCTAAGAGTGATGAGCTGATTTCTACAATTCCATACAAATCCCCAGGGGTCTTTTGGGGCTGAAGTGCGCCGGAGTGCTGCTCTGGGAGCCCAGGAGCTGGCACAAATGGCGGTGGCAGCAAGCCCCGGGCCCAGGGAGGCCTGTCACTGCTTTCCCGGGGCCTGCGGTGGAGCGCTGCGGCCCCAGGAGGCCCGTCGCTGACTCCCCGGGGGCCCATGTAGCGCTGTGGCCCCAGTGAGGCCCATCGCTACATGCCCGGGGCCCGCGCTGGAATGCTGCGGCCCCGGGGAGGCCAGAGGATGCCCATCACCGCCTCTCCAGGGCCTGTGCCGGAGCGCTGCGGCCCCAGAAGGCCCGTTGCCATTTTCCCGGGGCTCGCACCTGAGCGCTGCAGCCCCAGGGAAGCCCCAGGAGGCCCGTCACCGCCTCCCCGGGGCCCACGCTGGAGTGTTGCAGCCTGGGGGAGGCCAGAAGAGGCCCCCCCACTGCCTCGCCGGGCCAGCGCTGGAGCGCTGTGGCCCAGGGGAAGCCAGAAGACGCTCCCCACCACCTCCAGGGGTAAGTGAGGGATCCGCGGTGGGTGGCGGAGGCTTGATTGGGGGAGTGGGGGGGGGGAGAGCCTCCCCCCATCTATTTCCCTCCTTTCTCTCCCTTCTCTTTCTTCCTCTTTTC